TGCTGCTGCGTGTTGTCTTAGTTTGTTTGCTTGTTTGTTTGCTTGTTTGTTTGTTTGTTTGTTGGGAGGGTGGGTAGGTGGGTGGGTTGGTTGTAGTGGTTGTTTTTGGTTGTTGTGGTGGTCCGGCGTCATGCTCCGGATTTCATTATATGTGTGCCTGCAAGTTTCTGTTTTTCCGGCTTTTACATCGATTCTGACGGGGCACTGCAGTCTTCAAAATAGCAATCACGCTTGGATGATGTTCAGTGGTAAGTGGTAAGTTGTCCTATGTTGGATGTTGCGAGGCATACCCCGCAACCTAGGGCTCCGTCTCAAATTAGGGCACCCCTTTGCATTGTGGTTTTGAAGCGGAACCCGAAGGGAACCAAACACTGAGAGGTGTCCCAAATGTTCACAAACAATCATAGAGTGGAATGCTTGTGATTTGCATTCCGCTGACCTAGCGCATGACGTTCGAGCCAGTTTTTTGCGTCCAAAGGTATCGGTTCCGTGTCGGCTTGCATTTGCTTCCGGCATAACCAAATTCCGTGGACCGCTTCGTATTGCCTGTGCCCTCCAGGCAAGAGCACTGTCATGTGCCTGATCCAGCGATTCTATGACCCACAGAATGGCCAAATCCTCGTTGGCTCGCAGCAGAAGCCCTTGGATTCCCTCAACATCCGGTGGTGGCGCAAGCAGATCGGCCCCATGGCAGTTCTGGCGTGCGTGGGATGGAGGCGGTTCCTTTGCCGCTGTGTTCAGCTTTTGGTTGGGGGGACGCTTTTCCAAGAATCCAAGGGAAGACCTCAGGAGTTTCCAGCTTCATACACAGATGGCCACTGGCACCGAAGCAAGGACACGTTTCATCAGCGGGGATTGATGTAAGGTTTTTGCTTCTGGCCGAGATGCTCATTCGAAGACGATGAACACAGTCAGACCTCAGGGGTCTGGGTGGCTTTTACAGATGTCTTGCACCTCTTGATGCAGTCCTGCCTGTACTCTTTCAATGTCTTGATCACAGAGATGTCAGATTCAGGGACCGGCGGTTGAAACTTGATGCCTTAAGATGCTTTGACTCGTTTGCCATCTTGCCTCCTGAAACCAATTATGTGCGATGCCGCTTGCGCGGATGATTGCTTGCTGATTGGCACGCAACAAAATTAGTTTGCTTGGCTTTCCTGTGTAAAACGTGGTCATGTGTACTGTTCGGGGAGCTTGCAGGGTTCGTTCCAAGACGAAATCGGCCAAGGGAAGCAAGTTGAAGGTCACGCACCATGACGCCCTGTCTTCATGAGCTAGAGTTGTTTGATGTGAATTTATTTCACTCGCTTTGAGTGTCCTTCAGTCACGAGCTTGAATCGCTCATTGATTGATGGCAACCGCATGGAAGACCTAGAGTTGGACTGTTATCAGCAGGTTCCTTTCGGGGATGCTGCCACAAGGCCCCCTGATTGTCCAAGGGGACCCATTCCCCTCCCGGGTTCCCCATGCAACGGGTTTGAGCATGGCACGCGTCTTAAATGGTTCGGATAAAAGACACGTTGGTATTGGGGGCTTCAAGACGGGTCTCCGCTTCGCAACATCAGGCGTCGTTCTCCGTGCTTGCTTCCATGCTCAGTCCAAATGAGCTGTTCATGTTCAGTATTTCAGGGCTTGCCTGGCTTCTTTGCGGATGACCTGCTCTCGCACAAGAGCGCCACAGCGGCTTTGCCTTGAGAGCATTCCAGCATAGCGCGACACGTTTTGGCCTTGGACCTTACTGCACGAGAACAGTGATGACTTGCCGCTAATTTTTTGATCAACCAGGAATTCAGTCATCCTGAGTTTCTATGAGAGTGGCCAAGCAGTCCTGCTTATTCGAGTTCAGAAGAGATACCACGGCGCTCCCTCTCACCACTCGCGACCGCCGTTCTCACTTCTGTGAGGAACCTCTAGCCGAAAGGCCACTTCTTCTAGCGGTATCACAGTAGAAATTCCCACAACCCGGTTGTCCGCGGCTTGTTGAGGCTTTGTGGGACAAGAGCCTGTTCTGTTCAACACGAGCGTGCGCAACAACATCCTCTACGGATTGGATGAGAATGATACAGTTGATGAGAAGTGGATCAGCAAGTGCGAAAAGATGTGCAACTTGCGCTTCCTCTACAAAAACGGCAACGAAGGCAGGATGAGTTTTTTCAGACAGGTGATATTGCGTGATCAATCAAGCTAGGGGATCACCTTTACTACCAATCCCCAGGCAATGCAAGCTCTTCACGCTGGGTTTTTCAAAGCCGAAACCGAAGCCCAAGCGAAACGATTCACAGGCCCGTTGCCAACATGTGGGTGTGTCGTTTTTGATGGACCCTGTTTTGGTTGCTTTGAAAGGAATTCCTCGGCAACCGTCGCTGGTTTTGAGGATTCCCCTATTTAAAGACAACCCCATGTTCGTCTTGGGGACACGGTGGTCTGTATTTCCCCCCTTAGTGGCCAGAGTGGTGCCTAGAATTCTGAATGAGGATTCGGTTCATCTTCCCTGAGTGGTTGCCCCCTTCAGAATGGCTTTGGGATGAGGTTCTAATTTGCCCTGTGTTTTTTTTTGTTATCTTCCCTTTCCCTTTGGGAAGATTAGAACCTCACCAATCGCAAGGCATTGTTTCCCCCACCTTGTGTGCACAGCGAGCCAACCATGCCCTTGTTTGCCTTGTTTTGACTGTCTCAATTTAGGACTTGCTGGTGCTCAGACCCCTCGGCCCGGAAGTCCGCAAGTATCCGCAAGTCTTTGTCTTGAGCAAGGGACCTCGGTGTCTAAAATGGGCCGCAGAGGTCCTTTCTCGGCCGAAGCGCCAGGCCTCGCCACGGAGGTGGGCCCGCGGGGGAGCCGCCTCAGCGGGGGCCAGAAGCAGCGGGTGGCCATTTGCCGTGCGCTGATGCGGGACCCCAAGGTGATGCTGCTGGATGAGGCGAGGTTCGAAAGTTGGACACGGGGCCTCCTTTTGCCTTCTGACCCCAAGCACCCAGTTGCCCAGTGGATTCCGCCTATTTCTTTTACCCTTTTTGGGCAGGGATCGCCTTTCTGGCATCTGAGAGCAGATACAGTCCGAGGAGACTAGCCGAAGAGCACCCGGTGTTTGGGGTGTGTGGATGTGTCAGCAAATTTTGAATGGGGCTGTGTGGATGTGTCAGGTCAGCCCAGTTTCAAAAAGGTTGGATTTGTCAATGCTGAACGCAAGGCCCCTGCTCATTGCAAGATCACCGTGTGTTAGAAGTTCGATTTCGGGTTGCGGGCAGAAGTCGAGGGAGCAAAGGATCCCCACAAAGGGTCCCCCAAAGGGTCCCCCCCAATAATCTAGGTCTTTGTTCAACCTTAAAAAGCATGCTGCGTTGCGGATTTGGTGTCTCAAGTTTCGTGGAAGGCCACCAGTGCGTTGGACGCCCAGAGTGAGGCCATCGTCCAGACGCTTGGCACAGTTTCGTGTCGCAGTCCGCCCTCCCAGACGCCATCAGTGCTTCGTTTCACTTTCATCTGCCGGCAGAGTTCTCCTACCTTTTGTGGGGGTGAAGCTCTTGTTTTTCTTGGCAAGCCCTACCGCACGGGTTGGTGGATGACTCTGAACAGCCTTGCAAGAGTCTGCCTAGATTGCTATGGGTCAGTTGTGGATGATCAGTCGAATTGAAAGGATGGGTGAGTTTTATTTCACAAGGCCCATGGCTAGCTTTATGCACAAGCTATATTTGTGGACAGCAGTGCGGTTTGTGTTTGCTTTTCGGGCAGCTCGTTCTGAGCAATCACGGCTTTGCCTCAACACAGCGGCAGCTTGCTGGAAAGAGAGACATTTGGCGACAGATGGCTAACCTGTGTGTGTGTGTGTGTGTGTGCTTGCGTGCTTGCGTGCTTGCGTGCTTGCGTGCTTGCGTGCTTGCGTGCTTGCGTGCTTGCGTGCGTGCTTGCGTGCTTGTGTGCTTGTGTGCTTGGGTGCTTGGGTGCTTGCGTGCTTGCGTGCTTGCGCGCTTGCGCGCTTGCGGGCTTGCGCGCTTGCGTGCTTGCGTGCTTGTGTGCTTGGGTGCTTGCGTGCTTGTGTGCTTGCGTGCTTGTGTGCTTGCGTGCTTGTGTGTGTGTGTGTGTGCGTGTCTGTCCGTTTGTATGTTTGTTTGTTTGTTTTGTTTCTTTGTTTGTGCGTGTAGTTGTTTATGCATACACGATGCCTGGTAGTCTGCAAGTCCGGGGTGTGGCGTTGCAAACCAGCCCAACGTGCTTTTTTCTGTCACGCCTGAGGCACCGCTAAGGCTTTCAGGATCTTCAAGTCCTTGCGACCAAGGGAGGAGCCGCAAGCATAACGCGTGGCAGAAGTGCAGAAAGTGCCGATTGCCTTCAGTTCACAAGGCAAATACAGCAACAACTGATTTGTGTGTTCTTTTAAACTGTATGGTTTGAGGCGGTACTGCCATCCGTCGCATATGTTCAAGGTGTCAACGGTTCGTTTTGCGTGTCAAACCGACTTGCCTCTTCCCGGAACTTCACCGACACCCCATGATTGGAGACTCAGGAAAGCGCTGGAGGCGGCCCGCGAAGGGCGCACGTCCTTCGCCATCGCCCATCGTCTCTCGACCATCCAAAATTGCACCCTGGCTTTCAAATCCGAAGGTCAGGGAACCAACGGTTCTTCAAGACGCAGTTCAAAGAGGTGTTGCCGAAAGTGGTGGGTTTCCGAATGGGTTTTGGGTGCGAATGTAAACAAACAATTCATCCCGTAGACATGGCTGATCCATAGGGGAGCCTTTAGTCTCGTGAAATATGTCTTGCAACTGGGGGCACCTTCCCAAAAAAGAAGGAAGCCAGGGGCTTCATGAATCCGGGCAATTGCAGCGTCTTGTCGGCGTGAATCCGCCATATCCTTTCAAAGTGAACCTTTTCTGATGAACCAATGTTCATGTTTGTAGTTCACTTACATTCTATGGATGGATTCTTTTTATGGTCCCCAGCTCCATAGACCCACAGGAACACCCCACAAATGGAAAAGAACCAAGGGATGTTGACGAGAATTGGCCAGATGGCTTTGTCCTCCAACTGGCTTTTCACACAACCCAAAAAGGGTACCAGCAGAAAAGCACTTTATCTCCCTAAACAGCTGGGCTTTGAAGGGTGCTTCAAGCCACTTGACCAGGATCAGAGCCAGTCTTTCCGGATTCCTTCCTCGCCTTTTGCTCATCCCCCCTTAAGTCCTTAACCCCCTTCTTAACCCCCTTCTTAACCCCTCCTTAATCTAGCCCGTGCTCAGCAGGGAATGAGGGAATGCCCCCCCAGACAAACCATCCCTTGTGGCTTTTGAGGGAATCCCTAGGTTCGCCCTACCTATCGCACCAGCAAGTATACTGGGTGCAAATGACTTGGGAGTATGTAAACGAACCCGTCCGTAAAAGTGCTCCCAATTCATCATGCAATCCCAGAAACCCTTAACGTCCAATGTACAACCCCCTCAACCACCGGCTGGGACGGACTTGGCAAACAATCGAGGCGACGTCATCCTGGTGAACGCCGACGGGCGAGTCGTAGAGCAGGGCACTCATGGCACCCTGGCCCGAAAACGGATGCGGCACGGGGGGAGGTTGCTGCTACAGGACGACCCTTGAAGTTGATTTCTTGCCAAGGTTTCCCCAAGGAAAACCCCGGATGAATACACCCCTGGTTGATTAACAGGGGGGTGTCCCCTTTTTGTGGGAATTCATCACTGTTGGAGGGAGCACCCTCCTAATAATGGGACGGGTTTGTTAAAGCTGGGTCAGGATTACACCAAACAGGGTGTTCAACTTTGGGCAAGGAAGCTGATCAATTCGTTGGGCGATGGGTTTTGCAGGATTCATCGCTTTGCAGCTTGCAGGTCTCAAGGCTTGCTGGAAGCAGTCATGCCCCTTCCAGATTGACCATACTGGAGCATACGGGTTTGTCTCTAAATTGGAACCCCACCAAGCAAGCATCTGAAGAAAACCCAGAAAGGGAGCTGCAAATGGGACATCCCCCATATGCAAGCTGCGCCTTGACCCCAATTATTGCTCTTGCCTTTTTGTGTGCGGTTCCCAGCCATACGGGATAGAGGCTATGTGTGCCGTTTGTGGAGTTGCTGCGCTTGTTTGGATGGTCGTTCATTCAAAGGGGCTTCCATTTTCCTATTTTCAGAATCCGCCACGTTTCCTGTTTTTGCGTTGCTCACTTCTGTGTGGGTTGGCCAAAAAAAGTATGAACCTTTATTTGTCCACCAAAATGGTCCAAACCCGAAAAGTCTAAAGTTCATGTTGCCCGGATATCATTACACCATACACGCAACTCTTCCCTCCTTTTTCTTCTGCGCTTGCTGGCAACATTTGGGAGAAAATGGGATGCCATGTTCTTGCACTCGGTAGTCAATCGAACAATCACATGTTTCCAGACAACATGAATTCGAAGGCTTGCAAACCAACCGTGGGGGCCACATGAGCCATGGGGTTTCAATTTCTGCCCCGGTTCGGGAGTACACGGACACCTTGCCCTTGGCAAGGTTCCTTTCATTCTCCAGCTTTGGGTCCCTCATACAGCTGCAGTTGAAAAACCCACCCGCTTTGAGGGTTTCTTGCAGGGCCTAAACGCGCACCTTGGTCTTGGGGTCGCTGGCATTCTCCAGACTTGGGGCCACTGCATAGCCAAGCCTTCTGGTTTGGAAACGGGACATGGGTCCTTGAGCTATTTGAGGGGGGACAGAAAGGTCGTGAAGCATGACGTGCATGTCTGGTATGGCGCTGAATTTTAATAGGAAACCACATCAAAAGAGGTTGGTGGACATGAATCCCCACCCAAATGGTGCTCACCAAAGGGCCCCCCCAAAAAAATCACCACCATATTGGTACGTGTGGGGTTGTCTCACCGGCTCCCACATGGCTGATGTTTGGTGTTTGATTGGCTTCCCTTGAAAACAAGCCAACAACAGGTACCAATTGACTCAAAAGAAGACACCCGTGCGAGGCGAGCTTATGGCAACGAAGGGCGTCTACTACAAGCTGTTCATGCAGTCTCAGAGGTGAGAGGTGAGCGTGCAGCTAGCCGCTAGCCTCAAACCCTGCCGCGGTTCAGCGGCCGCTTCCTTTCCGCTGTACAGATCTGTGGGCCGAGGGGGGGGCTTTGCGAAGCAAAGGATCCCCCGATCTTTCCTTCCAGGTTTCCTTGAGCGCAAGTGATCTGATCCGAGGGGGCCTTTAAACCAGGCATGAGTTATTCTTGGGGTTCCGTTTCAGAGGCAAACCAATTTTTGAGTCCCCCCGAGTGATCAAGATCTCCGAGGTTGGGGCAAAGCCGTCGAGGCTCGCCGGCGTTGGCCATCCTGTGAACCAATTGACCGCGGCTCGTGGTCGGAGGTACGTACTGTAGCCAGAGGCATGTCATGTTGGGGGCGCCCGCCCAAGGTGGACGCCGATTTGCGGTGCTTGATGTTTGGTTTGTCTTGGTTTGTCATGAGCTATATCAGACTGGGCGTCGTGAGGCCTTTCTCCGGGGCTCGCCGTTCCGTTGGACCGATTTTGCCACCGTCAATACACAGGGGGCATATCACCCGCTTGGCGTGGCACCAAAAGGGCGCTGAGTTGAGATAGCAAAGGATACCGCATGTGCTTCAACGGCTGAATGGTCTTGCATGGCTTCCCTTTCTCAATGAGCAGTGGAGCGATCCCATTGCTTCCGACTGGGGACAGCACCGAAGCACTCAAAGGCCTTTGTGGCTTTGCTTTCCAACGCTCCCATTTGGGTATGTGTTGAAGCTGTGCTGCAATCCCAAAGACAGGAGCCGAAAAGGACCCCTGGTTTTGACACATTTCCATCTATGACTTCGAGAACAACTCGGGTGCACAAGCCAGGCTGACCCCTTGCATGCAAACAAAGTGCAATCGCTGGCACTGGGCAAGCCTTGCGTGTGGTTTTGGGTCTCAAGGCGGCTTCCATTTGGAGAACAGGACTGCCTTTTCAGGAGGCAGCAAGTGGATTTTATTCAACCCACTTTCTGCCTCAGCCCCGACCCACCCCACCCCCCCCCAAAAAAATGGTAAAAGTAGGGGGCCTGGGGGGTGGCCTGTTGATGGTTGCCTGTTCTGGTTTTTATGTTCATCTCAAATCTGTGTTCCCCTTTATTCGTTTTTAAAAGAGGGTTTTTAGGGAGCTTATTTATCGTTTTCGTTAAGGTAATCATTTTGGTAATTGCCCCCCTTGTTCATTGTTGGGCTGGGGGCCGACATGTTTTTCATTTGAAAGAGTTAACCCTTTTAGTAGTTATCAAGTTCTGAGGTGTTGGTGGTGCTTTTGTTTTGTTGGTGTTTTTCTCACTAATGTTCATTTATAGGTTAAAAGTTCAGTATAATTATAACATATAAGATTTTACATGTTATTATTATATTATGATTATAATTTCAGTTCAGGATAATAATCTAATTGGTTTGTCTTACTTCTTTCATACATCATTTTAAAAATAATATTAACATCTCTCACTGTATTCTGAACATTAAACTTTTTACTTTCAATAAATAATTTGATATTTTCTTTAACGTCTTCTCCTTTGTCTTGACTATAACCCAACATCCATAATATATCGTAAATCGTGTCATATTTTTTCTTACTGATTTTAAGAAGCTGTTTAACACAATCGTAAGGTGGTATTTTATTTACAGTTAGAAATATTAAAATATCATCTTCTACATTTCTATTATGTATTCTTTTTATTCCCAACAGACATTTGATTAAAAATTGATTATCTCTCCAAGTTTTACAATTTTTACATATGTCTTCTTCACCATCCATTGAATAATTAATAATATTATTCACTATTTCATTAGGTAAACTCAATTTAAACAATTCCATATTTTCTTTTTTGAAGTGACAACAATCATAGCATTTTTTATTGATATAATTATTGATTCCATCACCGTTCATTTTCCTTTTAATATATAAGGTAATATTTCTTTAAGTAGTTTTGGCTAGGGGTTATGGTTTAGTTATGAATTACACAGGTTCATCAACAATTAGTGTAAACCTTATGTTTTGTACTCCTTCAAAATTCATTCTACTTCTTTCACCAGCAATACATCTGTATATTTTTTGATGCGCCCCCATTACAACGAGAGCAGGCCCCCATTACAACGAGAGCAGGCCCCCATTACAACGAGAGCAGGCCCCCATTACAACGAGAGCAGGCCCCCATTACAACGAGAGCAGGCCCCCATTACAACGAGAGCAGGCCCCCATTACAACGAGAGCAGGCCCCCATTACAACGAGAGCAGGCCCCCATTACAACGAGAGCGGGCCCCCATTACAACGAGAGCAGGCCCGGTTAAACTCTCGCCGATTTTTTGTTTCAATGTTTTAGACCAACCCCAATTTCAAGGGAGCTCTTCGCAAACCCTTAAATCCCAACAATCCCTAACCACCAAAATAAGGGCATAATCCCCCATTTTCAACTCCCCCAAAACCAACAAATACATAAACTTTAATGTTTTCAGTTTCAACCTCATCCCCAAACCCACATTTCCAGTTTCAAACCCAATCCCAAACCTGACCAACCGACCCTGTGCCTGAAAATAATTCTAATAATTTCATATTATTAGAACTATTTAGATAATTATTTTATGGAATAATGCCCATATGGTAATGAAGTGAAAGCATCAATATAAAACCTTTTATTTTCATAATTACTGAGAGATTGCTTTACTTGAGACATTGAATATATTTGATGCGACTTACTCCTAATAAAATTATATGTGATTTCATGCTTTTTGTTTTGAAATAATGCTTCGTGGTAGTTCTGATACGACAGTTCTTTTTTCACTTTGTGTTTCACTACACCTTTTGATTTCTTATGTTCATCATCCTCACCGTGAATTGTGAAGGCGTAAGATTTAGGTTTTAATCCGATGAATTTAGTAATGATTTTTCCATTGACTTCATCTTTGTACATTCCTAAGACCTTTTTATTAGTTTTGTCATGACATGGATGCTCAACAGGATAGTCGCTAAAATCCATGTGTTGCTTTATATCATTGAAATCCTTATAGACATCATCAGTCATTGTTTGAATTACATAACTGTCAGTATCAGTATATATCAATTTGATGTTTTCATTATACTTCTTTTTCAATACCTCATAATAAAGCTGATACATATGTAATTTGCTTAAATCTAAAATGCTCATTCCTAAGAAAATCGGTTTATCCAGTTTCAGTTTCGCTTTAGTTTTTTCAACTCCCACCAGATTTTCATTTATAATAAATCGGTTTTTGAATGTTGGGTTATTCACGCATTTTTCATATCTTACCTCATTATCAACTAATTCAAAATCCATATGGTTTCGCTTGTCTTCCATAGTTTTTCCGTACACCGCGTTATTCATTAATTTGAATAAATCTTTCTCAAAATCGCTTTTGGCTTCTTTCCTTTTACCAGTGTTGAAATCAATCCACGGTTTCAACCATGCCCTCTGTTGAAACTTTATTATCCTATGGACTTTGGTCATTTTTATTCCCATTTTCAAATAATACTGTAAAGTCTTGATATGAACCACATATTTTTCTTTATCCTTTAGATTTAATATTAACTTACTTGTTTTCTCGTCCTTGGGACTTTTACCATCATAATATATTTTGAAGACTTGCTTTTGATAATCGGAAAGCATATTCACATTTACATTCATTATCTCAGGCGCTAGTGGATAGTCTGAGTGGAAATCATGCAATGTTTCGGGATATTCCAAATCAACTTCCATAATATAACCGAACTCATCGTTTTCATTCCATTTTTCAACAATGGGAGTTTTCTTTGCCCACTTGATATTTTTTAGCGGTAACTTCTGGGACATTGCCAAACCATACAAGTTATTAGCATCCAAGTAACTAATATAATTTGATGGCTTGTTCTCATCATATGCTTCCCCCATATACTTATTATTTGCCACTGCTAATTTATGACTTACCTGACACATACCACCTCTCATTCCCTTTTCAACCATCTCAAACATTTCTTGGTCATGCAATTGTTCTATTTCAACACCAGTTTTTAGAAGCATCGCGTCCCATGCGAAATTTGGCAATGTGTAATAATGAGCGGGGTCTAAACCGTAGTATTCCATACACAAGTCTCTAAAGTTTTCAAATACATCGGTCAGTAGTAAAACATCAGTTCTTAAATACAAGTCGTGATACTGCCCGAGTGTTCTAATCCCGAAGTGCTTCCATACTTTCAGTGCCCTTTCATAATCTTTATCACTTACATGTTCTTCACTCAATTTACTGTAAAACGCTTCTTTCGGTGGTAAAGCCCTTTCCTTAAATCTTTCAAAATCATCAAAGTAGTCATAGGGATAAATACCCTTATCAGTCAATAAATCCAAATCTTCATCGGTTTTAACATACGGGTTTCTAACGCTGTATCTGAAATTGTTCTTCCAATTCTCACGCTTTTTATCATCCTCATATTTACTCAACTTCACCAACTTATCCAACGAAGACGATAAGAAACTGAAACTGTCCTTGAAACAAAGATTTTTAAAACCAAAGGTTATAAACTTTTCGCTGTTCTGAGCGATACATTCTATTTTAGAATTCTTGTTCAGTTCGTGAGCCTTGTTGATGATTAAGTGGGCATCATAGTTTTTAAGGTTATGAAGAAACACAGGGATTTTATAATATCTCATACTAAAACCAAGATTACAATCATCGTGGGCACATCCTCTGTAAGCTCCAGTAAAGTGACAATGGTCTCGAACCTTCTTGTCCTCAGGTTTAAAATCATTTCCACAGATAAAGCAAGTAGTAGCATTTTCAAAATCTTCCTTGTCCTTTTCAGTCATGATTATCTCTTTTACTTCCTTCATCCTACTAATAATATCTTCTCTGACTTCATTGATTTTTTCAACAAACTTATCCATACAATCTTCACCTCTATATAAGTAAGGCTCACTACTTCCGGTTATAGCATTGACTACATTAATCATAAAACCACACGGACGATGATTTTGATATGATGTAGTTTTAGCTTTTGCCGATTTGC